GGGGGGGGGGGGGGGGGGGGGGGGGGGGGGGGGGGGGGGGGGGGCAACAATTGCTTCACTTGCCTCTCGCAGCATGGCCCTAAGGCCCTCACTGTCCGCCTTCCCCCAGCGCTCCTGCGTTGAGGACGTCGACCAGAAAGTGTCGGCGAATTCGATCGCCTTGTCCATCTGCAGAGCGGACGGGAGCCGCCACGGAACCGAAGACGGAGAGACGAGCAACAAAAGAACAACCTCAAGCCTGAACTTTCACCACGCGATTGCTCTGCTCCAAAATAGGCGACAGCTAGCCGAAGGAACAACAAAACCACAACCATCGTATAACGAACATTCTCGTCTCCTACATAGGTACCAGCCAACCGGAAAAAAAAAAAAAACAGATCCATCTTACAACGAATACATACGTGCGTCTGTTCCCATCCCCCCGATGAAAAGTCATGAGAACGTTGGCGTGCCTGCTTCCGACTTTTGGTTTGCGTTTTCTCGACACACGCTGCGGGTCTTCCTGGCATCCTTCCTCTCACCCAACATGCTGGCCGGGCTCGACTTGCAGCATCTCTCCAGAAATATCTGTCCCCGGCCGTCTTGGAAAAAAAAAAAAGGGTTCTATCCAAAATATCCACCGTCCTCTCTCTGAACATCAGATTTTCACTTCAAAAAAAACTATTTGCAAAACAAGAACACGGCCTCTTACTTATCCCAAACACCCAAGATTCGCGCCTGCAAACACAACACTGTAAAAATAACAGTCACTCCTCTTTCCTCCCTCGCCGCTTCCAAACAAACACCTACCACCCTGTTAAACATGTCAGATTCGCGCTCCCACAAAAACAAAACTTGCACATCTTTCCTCCTTCCAACGTCTCCCTCGCCCTCCCCCTCCATCCCTCTTGCCTGTTCCTTGTCCAGGTCGGCATGCATGTGGCTCGGAAGCTCCGAAACGGGCGTCCCCGCGCACAGCAGCGCCAGGCAGACCCAGTGATGCCCCACCGGAAACACCGTCACACCCTCCGAGATGGCGTTGCCGTGAGGCAGCTGGATGATGCCGCTGGCCACGGCGTACACGTGTCGGTTGCGACCCTGGAAAAAAGCGGGTACGCAGGCGGGGGGGGGAGTTACTGACAACTTTTCTTTGCATGACCTAGTCTTGATGCGACGAAAGACCCTAGGCATACCCTACAAAGCCGAGAATGCGATGGGAGGGACGACCGTTCTCGCTCCTCCGACTCTCACGGCGGATGTTGCATGGACGTACAACAAACACAGGCGGCGGCGGCGGCGGCGGCGGCGTTCAGCTATCGAAAGAAACGCATTTTCCGTTTTTTCGGGTGGGGGGTTCAGCACCAAATATATCTCATCTTCCCAGTGGGGCCCTGTATGCACGTGTGAACAGTGGCACTCCTGCCAGTACTTTCATGTTCTACAATGTCATGCATGATATATATTGTGCACGCAACATTGATGCAAAGCGCGTTCATCACCGAGCAACGTCGGTTCACTGCTTTGAAGCGTCGTCCAAGCGATTGCGCGGATTGCTCCTATCTCACCTGGTACACGATCGACGCAGACACAGAGTTGGCCGGAGTATAAACCACCCTGCGCCTCTCCTTCTTCGTGGGTCCCGCTGACGCTGCCGCTGCTGCTGCTCCTGACTGGGGCCGTGACCCTGATCCGCCGGTCTCTGCCGACGACGGCGGTGTGGATGATGGAGACGCTGACGAGGAGGAGGAGGAGGAGGAGGA